GGATCCCGCTGAAAAGCCCATGAGAGTATTTCAGGCATGGAAAGCCAAGACACTCTTGGGGGGAGAAGACAAAAACCTAAATGAAAGATCTCCACAAGTGAGATCCCAGTGGAAAGAACGGGTCATCAAAGAAGGAAGTACCTTTCTCTGAAGAGAGGAGAGAACTTCCACTTTGACCATGGCCTTGTCTAAAAATGATCAGTCAGTGAACTCAGGGGGCTTCCATAGCCTTGGCAGCTCATGACAAGAGCCTAGGTTGATTACTGATGCCATAAACAAGAGTGTCAATTTGTTAAGTCAACAACAGGAGTCACTGCGCACTTTCTCCTCATGTAGGATCTTTGTCCTTAGTGTGCTGTACATTGTGATTTAATGCTATAACTAGTACTCAAAGAGTATTTTTCACTTTATGTTTCTGTGTGGGAGCAAACTGTTGAAATCTTTACTTAATGTATACTAAACTGATCTTCTGTATATAAAGAGAAACGAAAATGAAAAAAAAAAAAAAAGACTTGATCAGCCCTTCTCCTGACTGTTGAAGAACAACTTAATACTTTATCCCTTTTAGTAATTTTTGTTCTACTTAATACTATTGGTTGAACTCTTTAATTACACACAATTATTCTTAGGTGTTTAAATTTTAACTGAAAAGTGATCCCTGTTAGGAATTTGGAAAACATTATGCTGAGTGAAATAAGCCAATCCCAAAGGGACAAATACCACTTGTTCTCTTGATAGGTGACAACTAACTGAGCACCAAAAAGGAAACCTGTTAAAGTGAAATGAACACTATGAGAAATGATGACTTGATCAGCCCTCACCCTGTTGATGAGCAACTTGATATGTTATCCCTCTTAGTATTTTTTTTGTTTGTTCTACTTAATACTTTTGGTTGAATACTGTAATCAATACACAATTCTTCTTAAGTGCTGAAACTTAACTGAAAAGTGATCGCTGTTAAATGTAAGAGTGGGAATAAGAGAGGGAAGAGATGTGCAATTCAGGACATGCTCAAGCTGACTTACCTCAAACAGTAGAATTAGAAACATACCAGGGGATTCCAATTCAATCCCATCAAGGTGGCATGTACCAATGCCATCTCACTAGTCCCAGTGATCAATTTCTGTTCACAATTGATCATAATGATAGGACTAAGAACCAAAGGGATCACATAAATAAGACTAGTGTCTGCAAATACTAGCTGATAGAATAAAAAAGGGAGAGAACGATCCAACATGGGAAGTTAGATACACAGCAGACCCATAGAATGGCAGATGTCCTAAACAGCACTCTGGCCTCAGAATCAGCCCTTAAGGCATGCGGATCTGGCTGAAAAGCCCATGAGAGTATTTCAGGCATGGAAAGCCAAGACACTCTGGGGAAAAAAAAAAAACCTAAATGAAAGATCTCTGTGAGTGAGATCCCAGTGGAAAGAACAGGTCATCAAAGAAGGAGGTACCTTTCTCTGAAGGGAGGAGAGAACTTCCACTTTGACCATGGCCTTGTCTAAATATGATCAGAGTCGGTGAACTCAGGGGGCTTCCATAGCCTTGGCAGCTCATGACAAGAGCCTAGGGTGATTACTGACGCCATAAACAAGAGTGTCAATTTGTTAAGTCAACAACAGGAGTCACTGTGCACTTACTCTTCATGTAGGATCTCTGTCCTTAGTGTGCTGTACATTGAGATTTAATGCTATAACTAGTACTCAAACAGTATTTTTCACTTTATGTTTCTGTGTGGGAGCAAACTGTGGAAATCTTTACTTAATGTATGCTAAACTGATCTTCTGTATATAAAGAGAATTGAAAATGAATCTTGATGTGAATGGAAGGGGAGAGGGAGTGGGAAAGGGGAGGGTTGCAGGTGGGAGGGACGTTATTGGGGGGGAAGCCATTGTAATCCATAAGCTGCTCTTTGGAAATTTATATTCATTAAATAAAATTTAAAAAAAAAAGAATAAAAAAAAAAAAGCAGAGCTATTTTCACAGTGGTAAGACACACTCTCATACCCCTCAACCCTGTCAGGCACATCCAACATTCACTCCAAGGAATATGATAAGACACCCTCACAACAGAAAAGTAGAAAGTGTCAAAATAACTGTTGGCCCAAGCCACATAGTTCCTTCTCTATCACACCCACCAAACTCTCATTAGTATTGTCTCTCAAGAACACAGAACCTTCAGAGGAAAGGTGTGGTTCAGCTTGTCCTTCCTCTTTATCCTCAATAACAGCTGAAGGAATTCAGAAACCTGGCACCATCCCCATATTTTGCTCTAAGGTTATATTAAACAACATCTCCTTTCAACCAGGTACTCTCATCAGCTCACAACTAAAGGAAGGTAGCAAGTATACTTTTGCAAACTTTCCTTAGGGAAGATAACAATCTTATAAAGGGAAGGGCCAGTCCTAACAGCAGGCATGACTTACTCATTGATTAACTCAATGTACATCCATCTCCATGCTAATAAAAGTACCAAACACCATGCTAAGTAAGTACTGGAAATAGAGATGGATAAAAATAAGTGTGGGAGCATAAACACAAATTCTAAAAAATACTATAATCTCAAGTATTTACAATAGTGTCACAGGAGCACAAAAGAAAGCAACTAACTCTTCCTAGAGTGCTACAAGAAGATTCCACAGAGGTAAATATCTGACTTAGAACTTTAATAATGAGATATTGGCTATGCAGAGAGCAAAGGGACAGGTTTTTTTATATATGAAAAATAGCATATGGGTGTACATTTGGCTTAGTGGTTAAGGTACCACTTGGGATGTCCACATCCCACACTGGAGTGACTCGATTCAAGTCCAGGCTCCCTCCTGATTCTAGCTTCCTGCTAACACCGACCCTGGGAGACAGCAGTGATGGCTCTAGTAGCTGGGTTCCTGTCACCCACACGGGAGACCCAGATAGAATTCCTGGCTCCTGGCTTTGGCCTGGCCCAGCTCTGCTGCTGCAAGTATTTAGGGAGTTAAATAGTAGGTGGGATATCAATCTATCTATCTCTCCCCCACCCCTTAAAAACAAGATAAATAAAAAGTAAAAAGCAAGTCTGGTATAGGATTAGTCTGAAAAAGAAGTATACTACTTTGAGAAAGGAGAAAAATAGTAAGAGATAAAGGATAAGTATCACTTCAGGTAAATCTATCACCTCCCTCCAATCTATCTACTTTCCCTTACTTGCCCATAAGAGTGAGGTATAACCACAAGGTAGTAGGTAAAGTTTGAGCTCCACAATCCTTCAAACAAAGGTCTGAATCTCAGTCTACAGTTTTCCAGCTGTGTGGCCTTAAATAAGTCACTTCACACATCTGAGCCTCAATTCTCTCATCCGTAAATTCCTGTATATAAGTATTATTAGTTTCAAAAATTAAAGTAACCTACAAAATACTTCTGGTATAAAGCAGATGCTCTGTAAATTCCATGTTCCTTCCTCCTTTCCTCTCTTGATCCTGTTTAATAAAGTTGCCCACAACTCTGAGCAGAGGCATTGGATCTGCTCTAGTGTGTCCACCATCACCATCTCATACATATCACATAACAGTGAACAAGAGGGCCAGGCAACCAGTTTCAGCAAAACATGGCCTTAATAATACATCCAAAACTAAACTACCTCTAGTTCCAAAGATTAACAAACTGCTCTCACCTTACAATCTGCCTAGGGGGCCCACTACTGCTCCATTACCTGCCCAAAAAATAGTACTGCTCACAGACCTCAGTGATACTGGCCTCCAGAATCATTCCTCACCTTCCCCTTATCATTTTTCAAAGATCTCAGAGTCATGCTGGAATCAGTGCCTCAGCATCCAAAAACCAACAGGTAATCAGGCCCTGTCCACATACAACAGAAGCATAAAAGAATTCCATAGCTTGGTGTCCCTGTCACCTACTTAAATTCCCTGCAAAGTTCACAACAAGAAAAAAGAAAAGGATAAAATCACCTTCTTATATTTTGCCCTTTCTCCTGATGATAAAGTCCAAAAACAAAACAGACCATCCTCCTTCCCAGATTCACCTTTAGGTTCAGCTACAAGGTAATAAGGGGGAAAAGGAGCCATCCCTTAGACACATAAATGGCCAAGGTTAGTCATGTATTTTAGGGTGCAAAATACAACCTTCCAGGCAGCAGATACCAGGCAGGATGTACTTCAGCCTCACTTAAGAACCTTTGTCCTAGGAGAGGCAAACAGAATGAGGGATCTTGGCGGGGGGAGGGGGGGGTGGGCAGAGATATATCTGGAACACCTATATCAGACAGGGAAAAACCAAAAGGACATTCCAAGAACAGGTCAATAAGGTCCAGGCAAGACTGATTAATGATATAAATGGCAAGAATGGGCTGTTGTACCAAAATTAGAAAGATCTCATCAAAACTCACAGAAATACAAAAAGAAAAGCAAAACAAAACCCATTTCCCAGGAGCCTACTAATCCATACTCAGCTCACACATATCCTTCCCACTATTCTATTCCCAAGACAAATGGAATATTGGGATATGATCCCAACTCATTCCCTCCCTTCCCCACAATAACAACTCTGCCTTTTTTTTTTTTTTTTTTTTTTTTGGACAGGCAGAGTGGACAGTGAGAGAGAGAGAAAAAAAGGTCTTCCTTTTCCGTTGGTTCATCCCCCAGTGGCCACTCCGGCAGCACGCTGCAGCCGGCGCCCCCACGCTGATCTGAAGCCAGGAGCCAGGTGCTTCCTCCTGGTCTCCCATGCAGGTGCAGGGCCCAAGCACTTGGGCCATCCTCCACTGCACTCCCGGGCCACAGCAGAGAGCTGGACAGGAAGAGGAGCGACCGGGACAGAATCAGGCGCTCCGACCCGGACTAGAACCCAGAGTGCCGGCACCGCAGGCGAAGGATTAGCCTATCGAGCCGCGGCGCCAGCCACAACTCTGCTTCTTAACGGTATCTCCTCACCTGATTCCAGCAGAGCCCTTACAACTCACAAAGTGAACCTCTATCACAGAATGACTCACCTTTACAATTGTGAGTCTTCATGGCACACATGGTTCTCTACCTCTGTTGTGTGAGGATGACAACGAAGATGTTAAAGAACAGGTAAAACTGAATGAGTTCCTAAGGGATAAGGAAAGTTCAGTGGGCAGGGAAGCAAAGGCATTCCTGGTAGAGAAAGCAGTTATTGCAAAGAAGTCAAGGCTCAGAAAAGTAACATGTTTACCAGGGAACTGTAAATAGTTTCTTCAAGCTAGAACAAAGAGCAGGGAGTGGCAGGAGATGAGGCTAGAGAGGTGAGTTCAAGCCAAATGATGCCATATCAAGGAACTTGGATGTTGTCCAAGAAATAAAGAACTAAAGTTTTTAAAAAGAGGAATTCTATGTTCACATTCATATTTTCAGAAAATATTCTAGGGATGGACATTTAAGACAGGACACTGTTTTTAAAACCATATGAGAACTGAGTAGCAACTAAACTACAGCTAAAACAGGGAAGATATGGCAATGGAAATAAAAATAATAAAGATAACAGAGAAGAAGATATACTAAGATTTTAATGGCTGACTGAATTCAGGGAAGTGAAGAACCAGAAAGAATCAAAAATGACACTGAAGTCCTTGCCTGGATTGAGACTGGTCCTAAGGGTACAAAAGCAAGCTTTCAGAACAAAGACAATGAGGTCTGTTCTGAACACGTCAATTTTGAATTGCCTGGAGAGATATATAGATTGCTGGATGTTAATGTTCAGAACAGAGGGAGAGCCTGAAACAAGATACAGAGAAGTTATCACTACTTTCTGATACATCTTCACATAGTCTCTCTAAATTGAAACAATCTTTTCAGTCTCCCAACTAGCTTAGAATTTTGAGACTTCAGAAGACCCAATAAAATGTGAGCATCATGAAGGCAGACTATATACTCAAGAAGCATTTGCTAAATGATTGAATTTATATTCTCAACACTTAACAGAAAACCTGGCACACAGCAGATGTGGAATAAATGGTTACACAGAGCACCTCAAATGTTTCTATCTCTTCATCATCTTCCTCATCTGTATTTCATCCTCTCAGATCTACCACATAGCTATATGCCATAAGTCAAAATTCATTATACATAATGCACTGCCATTTCAACAGAGTTTTATACAGCAAACAATAAGCTTACCAAACCTAGGTCTTCTCCAGTATAACCAAGAATATGGACAGTACTTAAGAATCCTCTGATGACTTAACTTATCCTATCATTATTGAGATATGGTCCACTGTCAAGAAATGACACTGGGGCAAGCAGGTTAGGTTGCCACTTGAGATTCCCAAATCCGATATCACAGTCCCTGGTTGAGTCCCAGCTACCCACATCTGATTCTGCTTATTGCCAATGTGTCTTTGAGGCAGCAGATGATGGCTTAAGTATTTGAGTTTCTGCTACTCACATAAGAGGTCCAGATGGAGTTTCAGCTCCTGGCTTCGGCCTGACCCAGCCCAAGCTGTTATAGGCATTTGGAGAATGAAACACGATGTGAACGATCTCTCTCTCCCTCCCTGTCACCCTCCCTCCCTCTTTCCCTCTCTCACTCTGCTTTCAGATAAACAAATCTTAAAAAAAAAAAAAAAAAAGAATAGGAGGCAGGAGGGTTACCAGTTCTGTTGCATAGCATTTAACATCAGCATCCCACATGGGTGTTGGTTCATGTCCTGGCTGCTCTACTTCCAATCCAGCTCCCTGCTGATGGCCTGGGAAAAGCAGCAGAAGATGGCCCAAGTGTCTGGGCCCTGTACCCATGTGAGAGACACAGATGAAGCTCCTGGATCCTCACTTCAGCTTGGCCCAGCCCGCACTGTTATATAGTCATCTGAGGAGTGAACCACTGGATGGAAGATATCTCTCTCTCTCTGTCGTTGCCTCTGAGGCCTAGACTCTAGAACTAAGTGGGAACTGAGACTAATTCTTAGGTAGTAAGAAGTCTGGACAGGAAAGTTCTAACTCTGTGATGTTGGAAAGAGTCAAGATGTCAGTAGCATGAAAACTTGTGGAAAGTGGCCATTCCCATGGATTGCTAATCCAACTTTCCAAAATTCACATGTACTCATGGGTTGGTGGGCAGAAGGGGGCCTTTAAAGCATAAAAAAAAAAAAAAAAAATTACAGGGTATAGAGGGAGTGAACTGCAAAAATACAGGAGAAAATTTGCAGGGGTTGGTGGAAGAGTTCAGTATTTTGATAGTGATGATAGTTTCACAAATCTGTTTATATATCAAAATTCATCAAATTTTAAATATGAGCATTTTAAATTTCAAATGTACACTTTAAGTAAAAGGGGTGAACTGAATATAAATTTACCACAATAAAGTAGTTTTAAAAAAATCTAACCACATGAAAAGGCAAGCAAGGCCACCTTATTTGGGAGCCTAAATATGTTGTTGTATGTGACAATCCATGTGGCCTGCACAGAAGGATAATTAGTACCTGGAAGTGGTCGGCCCAGTATAAATGACACCCATGAGAAGGAGCCACAGTTCAGCACAGGTAAGCAGCAGCAGTGAAGCAAGGTTAGCCAGAAGCAGGTGATGAGAAAACAACAAACGTAGTCACAGCCAAAGAACCCTCAAGAGAGAGGGCAGCTGCAAGTCTACAGTCCAAAGGAGGAACTTGGAGGAACTGGGCTTCCAGTGACTCTATTGAAGACTGAACATCAAAAATGGTTCTTTATCACAGCTATTATTTTTCCATGATACCTTTTTTATTTTTTGTCCTCCAAAATATGAAGACTCCAAGAGAGCAGAGGAACCAAGTGCACAACGCTTCCGCCCAAGCTGTCCTACTCAGTCTAAAACTAACTGCTCTCACGGGACGGGACAGTCCATGCACGGAGGCCTCAGGACTAACCTCACACCCTTCCTTACCCAAGTCGCTCAAGCCTCACTCCCTCCTCTTTCTCTGCCTTCCACTGCCTCACCGATTCACCGCCAACCCGCAGGTTCCCGCCTTTGCCCTCTACCCTCCTCCTCCTCCTCCTCACACAGGCCTCGCTCCCTCACTCTGGTGCCAGGGCTGTCTCTCACTTCTGCCGTCGGTAGCCCCAGCCCCTTAATGAGCCGTGCTTGCGACTCCCTTCCACTTGGCCCCCTCAGAAAGCAACCCAGCCACTCATATAACCAGCCATTCACCACGGCTCTTCACTTGGCCATTCACCCCTAGGCTCTTACCCTGCTCCCCCACCTCAGACACACACAGCCCCTCACCACCTGCCAGCCCCTCACCCTGTCCCTTCACAACCAGTACAGTTACCAAGCCCAGTGCCATCATTCCCCTTGTCCCTCATCGCCTCATGCGCCTCTCCTGGCTCGCCGGTCCATGCATACCGTCCGCTCACAGAACGCCGACCCGGCCAGGCCCTATCGTCGCGGTGCTGCTAGGTGAGTTCAGGCCGCCGCCATCGCTCCTCAGGCGCACCAGCCCCGCCCCGCCCCGCGCCACACGCACTCGCGCCCCCGCGCACTACACGTAACCGCCCAATGACGCACGACTGGGCAATGGCGTGCCAGCTCATTGGCTAAGCCCGGCCACAGCCGTCGCGTCAACGCTCGTTTCCTGGCAACGGCGGAGCGCAGGGGCGGAGTCGCCGACGGCGTTTCGAGGGAGGCGTACCGCTTCTCCCCTAGTTCCTCCCCTTCGCCCTGTAAATCCCGCCCCTCAGAAGGATTCCGTCATGTAATAGGGGAAAAACTCTGGGAAGGCGGGGGTCCCCGGGGCGGGGGTGGAGCCTGGGGAAGAAAGGTCGAACCAGAGGGCAGAAGGCGGCACCTAAACCGAAAAGCGACTTTTAGAGGCAGGGAAAGACCAGCAGGGCGGGGCTTAGGAGAGGGGTGGACCGGGAAGAGCCTGGGGCGAAAGGGGCGGAGTAACAGGTCCTGGGTGGTGGCTTAGAGAGGAAGAGTGGGCGTGAGAGGGGGCGTGGCTAACACCCAAGGGCAGGAGTTGAAGGGAGGAGTCAGAAGGTGGGCGGGGCCGTGGAAAAGCGGAGCCTTAGAGAGGACTGACTGCCAAGACTGCGCCCTGTTGGATTCCACCTTAATAGTCTGGCAATGACCGCCTTTCTTTGGTACCCGCAACACCCATGCACTGCACTGGTCGGTGACCCCTGGGCGCTGGCTTAGTCAAGAAATGTGGAATAAGTGCTCCATGTCAGGGTGGATTCCAGATAAATTAGAACCGGTCTGTGCCCTCCAGGACCTCAGCCCTCTAACCAGACACAATTAATTGCAACGTAGTGCAGTAAGTGATGTAGTATGGGGGCCATCTAGGAGGATAGCACTTAGCACGATGTGTGTGTATAGACTAGAGGATGAGGGAATGGATGGGTGAAGGAGCTTAGGGAAGATTTCCAGAAGATGCTGGCAAGAATAGACATACCAAGATGGCGAAACTGAAGTTTCAGATTACGTTCAAGGTTAAAGTATTGTGCCAATGTTAATAACCCTTTTTTAAGATTTATTTATTTAGTTGAAAGGCAGAGTTAACAAAGAGGCAGAGGCAGAGAGAGAGAGAGAGAGAGAGAGTCTTCCATCCACTGGTTCACTCCCCAAATGTCCGCAATGGCCAGAGCTGCGCCAATCCGGAGCCAGGAGCCTGGAGCTTCTTCCGGGTCTCCCACGTGGGTGCAGGGGCCCAGGACTTGGGCCATCTTCTACTGCTTTCCTAGGCCATAGCAGAGAGTGGGATTGGAAGTGGAGCAGCTGAGACTTGAACCGGCGCCCATACTGGATGCCAGCACCACAGGTGGCAGCTTTACCCACTATGCCATAGCACTGGCCCCCAATAACCTGATTTTAATCATTCTTTTATGGATCTGCAAGATGGTAACATTAGGGGAACAGGAATAAGGAATTTACAAGAACTTTCTGTATTTTTTTGCAACATTTCTGTAAACCTAAAATTAACTCAAAAAAAGTATTTAGAAAGAAAAAAAACAAGTGTAAGTTTCAGCACAAGTGATAAGCATTTACCAGGACAAGAAAGAATGAACAAAGTGGGGAGGGTACGGGGGTTAGCTCTGGGAGCTGCATTTGGTACAGTGTGTCTGGTGCCTGGGGAAGAAGCAGAAGAAATATTATGATACTGAAGATACCAGTGGACATCAGGTACTGGAGAGCTTTGTAGGCCATATTAAGTGTTTAGATGTTATCTTTCAGATAATAGCTACAAAATATTTTATACACGGTCAAATTGATAGAGAGGCTTTGCTGCTAATGTAGAGAAGTGGACATGGAGACATTAGAAGGTAGATTACCAGAGTTTGAGTAGATGAATAAGAAAGGAAAATACGAGGGAGGATTAAAACCTGATGCTTGGCTTATATAAATTTAAAAACAGGTAAAATTAAAACTATGGTGTTAGAAGTCAGGATAGCAATTATCCTTGGGAAAGCATTGACTGACAGCAGAGCGAGGCTTCTGAGCCACTGGCAATATTCTGTTTCTTAATCGGAGTGCTGAGTACATGGGTGTGTTCACTTTGTGAAAATTCACCAAGCCTTACACTTAAGAAATGTGCACTTTTCTATGTTTTCTTTCTGTTCTGGATACTATGCTGTGTAACAAGCCACCCAAAACTTAGTGTTGTAAAACCATAGCCATTTTCTCATGCTCACAGATTCTGGGAATTGAGATAAGACATAACAGAAATGGCTTGTCTGCTACATGGTGTCTGGAGACTCAGCTAGGAAACTTGAACACCTGGAGATGACTTGATCCTGGTGGCTGGGGTCGTGTGAAGGCTTCTTCAGTTACATGCCTGGGCTGGGAGTGTCAAACAAAGCTCCACAGGGGTCAATGTTGTGGCCTGGTCTGAGTTCTACCTGTTTAACTTCTGATCCAAAATTCTGCTAATGTGCATGGGAAGGCAGCAAAAGATGGCCCAAAAATGATGTGGCCCCTGCCACCCACATGAGAGAAAAGAATGGAGTTCTTCACTCCTGGCTTTGTCCTGGCCCAACCCTGGCTGTTGCAACCTTTTGGGGAGTGAACCAGCAGATGAAAGACCTCTCTGTCTCTCTGTCTTTCTTTCTCCTTCCCTCCCTCTCTCACACTCTGACTTTCAAATAAACAAGCAGATAAATCTTCAAAAAGAAAAAAGAAAAATAGGGCCTCACAAAGTAGTGGCTAGTTTCCGACAGGAAGCATCCTGGGCTGGAACTAGCAGACAGTAAGCATTGCAAGAGACCCAGCATGATGCTGCATGGCCCTTTATGATCTAACCTCAGAAGTCACACATCTCTCATTCCATACTCTTGGTTGAAACAGGGAGCAGTGATAAAGAATTTGTGGCTATGTTTATATAAAGCTATTTTTGTAAATGTTATACAGTACTGGTCCTAGGGTTTTGGCTAAAAGGACAGAGATAGAGATTATAGCAGGAAAAGGATGTAAGAGGAGATAATAAGCCCAGTTATGGACCCAATGGGTTGAAGGTGACTGGAGGATGTTCAAGTGGGGACTTCCAGTAAGCAGTTAGTCATGTAGTTCAGGGAGAGTTCTTGGGACCCATTAAATGGGAAAGGAAATCCTTTAGGTGACTGATATCATCCAGAAAGAGTCAGGAGGGTGACAACAGAGTCTCTTTTTTTTAAGATTTTATTTATTTACTTGAGAAGAAGAGTTACAGACAGAGAGAGGGAGAGACAGAAGAAGAGGTCTTGCATCTGCTGGTTCACTCCCCAAATGGCTGCAACAGCCAGAGCTGGGCTGGTCCAAAACTGGGAGCCAGGAGCTTCTTACTGGTGTCCCATGTGTGTGCAGGGGCCCAAGCACTTGGATCATCTTTTCCTGCTTTCCCAGGCCATCAGCAGGGAGCTGGATCAGAAGTTGAGCAGTCAAGACTCGAACTGGCTCCCATATAGGATCCCAGTACCTCAAGTGAATGCTTAACCTGCTATGCCACAGTGCCAACTGCAACAACAGAGTCTTAAAAAACACCAGTAAAGAAGGGAGAGCAGAAGCTCTTATGAGAGATATTAAAAAGATGCAAACAAAAAATGTATAGTATCATAGAAGCCATGAGGAGAAAAAGGTTTAAAAATTAAATTCGGGACTAAATATATTTCTCCCAAGAAATTCCCTAAATACACAAATTGACCTTATCCCTTAGCTGAAAAACACTACACAGATTCTCAAATGTCATAAGGTCAAGTTTGATAGCATGCTGACAAAAGTCTCCCTTAGCTGGCCTTTACTCATCACTCAACCTCATCTTTCACCACTGCTCCCCTACCCCAGGTCCTCTTTAAAAATGTGCTCAGTTGATGTTCCCATGATCTCCTTTTTCTGTTTCTAATATCTTCAGGTCTTTGCATATACTCCATGCACTCTGCCTCTAGTACTCTTCCCCCTATCATCTCTATACTTAACTTCTATTCATCCTACAGAACCCAGGCTCAGTTGGGCCCCTTCTTATGCACTTTAAAAGCTGTCTGTGTATGCATCTAATTGAGTACTCACCAGTATCCTGGCAATGATGGCCATTGTTCATTACCTGTGCACCTATTTCCCCTTCTAGACTGAACTTCTGGGGGTTGAGGGCAGGGAGTTTGTCTCATCCATCTTTTATCCCCAATATTAGAACAATTTAGCCTGCCACTTGGCAGGAGTTCTGATTATAACTTGCTGAGAAAGATGATAGTAATGAAAGGGACAGGTTGAACAAGAACGGATAGGGGTTTTGTTTATTTGGGTGAGGGAGAGATTTCAGCATGTTCACAGAAAGGGAAAAGTAGAAAGAAGCTGAGGATCCAGAAAACACATGAAATAGCTGGTGGGATCAGGCACCAGAGGCAACAGGAAGAGCACATGGACTAAAGCACCACAGAAGGCTCCCGTCATACCATCCAATGGGAAGGAGGTCATAGGGATGTGGATGTCCATGAAGACACAGATAATGAAAACAGAGCTCACATCTGATGTGAGAGGGATCTCCTTGTCTCTGGAGACTAGTTCAGCACCTCACACATATGAGCCACTCAGTAAACACTTGTTAAGTCAATTAGTAATGAAGGCCAAGCAGATAACTTGCATATAGTAAAACAGAGTGAGCGTCAGAGCCTACACTGGAATCTACATCTCCTGAACTGTAGGGTCCCCGTGTAGCTCAGCTTGGGGTACAGGAAGTGAAAGAGGAAGACAGAAACAAGGCCCAGGCTTCCATCAAGCATGCACACCCCACCCTCTCTAGAGATCTCATTAGAGGTGTTTAGCTCTGCAGGTGTTAAGTTCAAGTCCTAGGAGACAGGGCAGGCACTGGAGATACACTGCCTCCACTGTTTCAGTAGCTGCTAGCCCTAGATGTGTTGCTAAGAGCTTCCAAGACAGAGCAGTCACAGCATTAGCCTCAGGAAAGCCTCTTCCAAGCAATCAGGCACTAATCCTCACCTCCGGAAACTACCTGCTGGCAAAGAGGCCAAAAGATACCTGACACCCCAGCACCAGACCACAGAACCATGAGCCAGGACAGCAAGGTGAAGACAACAGAATCCAGCCCACCTGCCCCTTCCAAGGCCAGGTGAGAATTCTTGGTCCCTGGTGTTGCATCTGTCTACTTCTTTTGATGGAACCTCATTCCATCTCTTGATGCCTCCTCCAGATACAATCACAGCATTGAATGTCTGCCAAATTCCTTCTTGCCCACAGGAAATCACTGCCTGTCCTAGACCCATCAGGAGACTACTACTACTGGTGGCTGAACACAATGGTCGTCCCAGTAATGTATAACCTCATCATCGTCATCTGCAGGTTTGGCAGGGGTGCTAAGGGGCCTTAAGTGACCATGAGGCATAAGAAAATGAGGCAGAAGTGGGGGGTGGGGCTCAAAAAATGTGCAGGACCCAAAAGAAGGTTGGGTACCAGTGGCAGGGCCCAAGACCTAGTGCTGAGAGGCCTAAGGGGACAGCGTGTTATACAGAGGCTGCCCTTAAATGTCAATACCTCCTGCCCCTGCCCTACAGAGCCTGTTTTCCCGACTTGCAGCATGGTTATCTGGTGGCCTGGTTTGTTCTGGACTACATGAGTGACCTACTGTACCTACTGGACATCATAGTGCGCTTCCACACAGGTCAGCGAGCCCCTAGGACTGACCCTTCTTCAGTCTTCCCTTCCTTAGAGAACTTCTTAGTAACAAGGGACTCCGGTTTGCCTCCTCCTTCCCCCATGACATCACTCTGTGCTTGATGACATCCCCCTGTTCATCCCAGAAGTCCTGGGGCAGTAGCCTCCTCCTCTTCCTGTCTTTGTGACTGTCTCCCTGTTCTACCCTGGCCTGCCCACTGTCACCCACATTAATCACAGCCTGTCCCTTTCTCACCCCCACCCCAACCCAGGCTTCTTAGACCAAGGCATCCTAGTAGTGGACAAGGGGAGGATCGCGAGTCGCTATGTCTGCTCCTGGAGCTTCTTGCTGGACCTGGCTTCCCTGGTGCCCACGGACCTGGTCTACCTGCGGCTGGGCCCACACACACCCACACTGCGGCTGAACCGCTTTCTCCGGGTGCCCCGCCTCTTTGAGGCCTTTGACCGCACGGAGACACGCACAGCTTACCCCAACGCCTTCCGCATCGCCAAGCTGATGCTTTACATTTTTGTCGTCATCCACTGGAACAGCTGCCTGTACTTTGCCCTGTCCCGGTACCTGGGCTTCGGGCGTGACGCATGGGTGTACCCGGATCCTGCACAGCCTGGCTTTGAGCGCCTTAGGCGCCAGTACCTCTATAGCTTCTACTTCTCCACGCTGATCCTGACCACCGTGGGCGACACGCCACTGCCAGCCCGGGAGGAGGAGTACCTCTTCATGGTGGGCGACTTCCTGCTGGCTGTCATGGGTTTTGCCACCATCATGGGCAGCATGAGCTCTGTCATCTACAACATGAACACAGCAGATGCAGCTTTCTACCCGGACCATGCGCTGGTGAAGAAGTACATGAAGCTGCAACATGTCAACCGCCGGCTAGAACGACGAGTTATTGACTGGTGAGAACGAGGGCATCCAGACCGGGACACAGAGAACCTATGGGACCTGCCCAGTGGGTCAGACGAGGCAGTCAAAATATGACAGCCATTGGTGGGTCTGCTGGGCGGGCTTGGAAAGAAGTGTCCTCCACTAAGAGAATCTTAGGAGAGAGGTGGCTAAGAGACTGATAGGGAGAGGGACTCTTGCACAAGGAGTGATAATATGGGCACCAGGGAATAGAAACTGCTATTGCCTGGGAGGAGTTAGAAGGTTCTGGAAGGAAGGAATGAATGGAGAAGAGCAGTGCACCCAGGGAATGGCCCATAACCAGATTGTTGACCATATCATGATGCTCTATCCTGTGGACTGAACTAGAGGAAGTGTTGTGAAGTTGGGGAGCCAAAGCAAAGGATCTCTTGGGAGGATGGGGGCTTGGTGGCTGGAATAGCTATAGTGGGAGTGGTATAAGAATTGCTGATTATTAGGTAAGGTAGAGCCTGACAGGAGTTAAAGGGTATCTTAATCACTGCCAAGTGGTGAGACTTTCATGCCCTAGGTGAAGTAGAAGAGATCAAAACACGTCAGTGACCAGGAAAGGAGGTAAGTCTCAGGTACTCCCATGACCACTGTGAGAGCTCAGTGTGGTTGGGCTGTTGACTGAAGCTGAGCTGATGGAAGGAGTGAAGAAGGTCCTCACATTGGAGACTGGTACAGAAATGGCACTGTGCTTACCCACAGGTACCAGCACCTGCAGATCAACAAAAAGATGACCAATGAAGTAGCCATCCTACAACACCTGCCTGAGCGGCTGAGGGCAGAAGTGGCTGTGTCTGTACACCTGTCTACTCTGAGCAGGGTACAGATCTTCCAGAACTGTGAAGCCAGCCTGCTGGAGGAGCTGGTGCTGAAGCTGCAGCCCCAGACCTACTCGCCAGGAGAATATGTATGCCGCAAAGGGGACATTGGCCGAGAGATGTATATCATCCGTGAGGGTCAACTGGCCGTGGTGGCAGATGATGGTGTCACACAATATGCTGTGCTGGGGGCAGGGCTCTACTTTGGGGAGATCAGCATCATCAACATCAAAGGTGAGCATCCTAGCATGTGTACTGGGAACAGGGCTAAGGAGGGGGATGCAGAGAGCAGAACCCAGTGCTGGGACCAGATGGTACTGCAGAACCTATGGGTTAAGGAGTTACCTGAGTCATCAGAGGGCTTAGGAAAGGAGCAGGACATGGAGGATCTGTTCCCTGAGGGGAAGCTGAGCCAAATTAGTGAGCAGGGTGGGTCCTTGGAAGAGAGAGTAGGCATGCTCTGTAAGTGTTGACCTGAGTGAGACACCAACATGCCAGTGGGAAATGAAGGAGATAATAATAATAATAATAGCTAAGGTTTATGACTTGTAGACTCTATGCCCCTTTCTAACTGCTTCACATGTATCAACTCATTAGATTTTCACAGCAGTTCTGTAAGATGAACACTGTCTTTGTCCCCATTTCAAAGGTAAGGAAATCCAAGTTCAGGAAGGTTTGATAATTTGTCCAAGGTTCACAAGTAATAAATAAACATTGCTCAGATCAGCATGAGGAGCAAGTTTCTCATGGCCAAGTGGAAAGAAAGGTCAAGGAGAAGAACTTCCCACTTACTGTCAACTCCAGGCTAGGCCTGTATAGAAGGAGTCATTATGCCTAATCACAGGTAAAGAACCTGAGGCTATGGGCAAAGGAAAACCTGGAAAGAGGGTAAGCACATTATCACCAATTGAAGCTAGGTGGACAGGAGACAGGTTCTCTCACATCTGTCTTCCAACAGTCACCCGCCCCCCTACACACCAGCTCCACATCCTGGTCAGCTTCTGTCTGCTTGACTTTGGACAAGTCACTTCCTTTTTTAGGCCTCAATTTCTTCACCTTTCCAATGAGGATAATATTTAAAACAAAGAGTTATTTGGGAGATTAAATGAGCTACATGAGTGAAATACCAAGCACAGTGCCTGGCACATAGCAAGTGTTCAACAAAGGGTAGCTCATTTTCCCTTTTCTAAGTTCCTTCTAGTTGGGGCCAGCACTGTGGCATAGAGGGTGAGGCCGCCGCCTGCAGTGCAGGCATCCCACGTGGGCGCTGGTTTGTGTCCCGGCTGCTTCACTTCTGTGGCCTCAGAGAGTGGTGGAAGATGACCAAGTCCTTGGGTTTCTGCACCCATGTGGGAGACTTGGAGGAGGCTCCTGGCTTCAGGCTTCCAATCAGCACAGCTCTGGCCATTTGTTGCCAATTGGGGAGCGAGCCAGCAGATAGAAGATATTCTCTCTCTCTCTCTCTCTCTCTCTCTCTCTCCCCCCCCTCTCTATCTCTGCCTCTCTTTCTCTCTGTGTGTAACTCTGGCTTTCAAATAAATAAATCTTTGAAAAATTCCTCCTAGTTCTGAGACACTGAAGGGTTCAGCCTAACCTACCTCCCAGCCAAACTTCACCAACATTCATTTAAAATGCAAATAAAGTCATATAGCTCTCCTGCTTAAAATGTGTCTATAGTTTCCCACTACCCTCAGCATCAAGTTTGAATGCCTTGCCATGACTTCTAAGGCCTGGCAAGCCCTGGATCTTACCTCTCTCCATTCTCTCCACATCCTGAACTTAAGCCACTCAGAACTGCTGATTTCTAAATCCACCCGACTCTTTTCTACCTCTCTTCCTGTGCTCAATGCTCTTCCTTCTGGCTAGGCTTCCTTCTCCCTACACCCTCCCCCTCTTCTTCTCCTTAACTCCTACTCAGCTCAGGCATCCCTTCCTCCAGGCTTTCCTAAATTCCCTGCCTTACAGCTTGGTAGCAGCTCTTTGCTTTTCTTCCCACAGTACCTGATGCCTGTGTCTATCCACCAGTCAGTCTGTCATGGCACTCTCCCATTATATGTCTATCTCCTCTAGACTATGAATTCTAGGCAGGTCAGTGATACCCACCAAGCACAGAACAGAAAAGGGCTCAGAACCACAAGCAAGGAGGCGAGAATCCTGGTTCCTTGCACCCCTGTTAATTATCCTCCTATCTGTCTGCCAATGGGCCACAGGGAACATGTCCGGGAACCGCCGCACAGCCAATATCAAGAGCCTGGGTTATTCAGATCTGTTCTGCCTGAGCAAGGAGGACCTGCGGGAGGTGCTGAGTGAGTATCCACAAGCCCAGACCGTCATGGAGGAGAAGGGCCGTGAGATCCTGCTCAAAATGAATAAGTTGGACGTGAATGCCGAGGCAGCTGAGATTGCCTTACAGGAGGCCACAGAGTCCCGGCTACGAGGCCTTGATCAACAACTTGATGATCTACAGACCAAGTTCGCTCGCCTCCTGGCTGAACTGGAGTCCAGTGCCCTTAAGATCGCTTACCGCATTGAAAGACTGGAGTGGCAGACTCGAGAGTGGCCAGTGCCAGAGGACCTGGCTGAGGCTGATGACGAGGGTGAGCCTGGCGAGGGGACTTCCAAGGATGGAGAGGGAAGGACTGGCCAGGAGGGACCCCTGGGCCCAGGGTTGTAGGAAAGCCTGACTACAGAAACTCTACCAGGCTGTCTGCTGGGTCACAGAGACAGGAATGAATTGGGCTGTAGAAGCCCAGCTAAAAATAGGAATGTAGCACATGCTCATCTCTCAGTCTCCAGTACACCCACATAAACACCAAGTGCACATCCACATGCTGGCCTCAAACTGTGCATCCCATACACAATACTCTGGAGTTTCCATTCTCAGAGCACACATGCTTTTCACTAAACAGTTTTACACCAAGATAGCATATGCACATGTAGTCATGCACCTCCTAAATACACAAATGCTGACAGTCACACACCAACAGACATAAAGACACCCTACAGAGATGTGCACATGCTTGTGAAAACCCAAAAGCACACCCAGAGTCGTCTTTGTCTAAAAGGCTCTTCAAACGCTCCCTCATATGGGTGAGTCACAGTGGTACCCTACAAGTTACACTTCACTGAAGTATTTGCTTCCTCACTAAACATTTGTGGGGCTGGAAAGAAAAGAGAAAGCTGGTGGTGGGCGAGGATGAATTCTATCTCAATTCTGAGTCACAGTGTCACATGAGCCGTGTGGTGGCTGGTGACTTGGATTCAGTGAGGCTGGGGGACTTGAAGAACTGAGCCAAAGAAAACAGGCTTGTGCATCACAGTGCTGTAAGTGTGTCTTCCTTATGAAATTCCATGGATATGTTGGATATATTCACATGCGCACCCTGGCCTTGCACCTTGCTCCTGAGTGTGTGTTCTGCATTCTGTGACCCTGAGGGATTTGATCCAGCTTGGTGGGCCAGAGGAGACACCTCAGCTTCTTTTTTCTTGCCCTTGCCCAGCTCTGGAACCTGGGAAAGCACTTCCCTGTGTTCAGGGCTGATTCCAGGGAGACAGTGGTTCTCAGGAGCATACCCTATTCTACCAACCCCATTGATGGGGCTGGCCTTGGTGCTGGCAGAAATCCAGCCTCTCTTCTTTGCATGGTGTTCCAAAATATAGAGTAGAGACTCAAGTCTGGGTGGAGTGGCATATCATGCTCAGGGACAATTAGAGACTAGTGCATTGAAAGTTTGGGGTAACTGTGGTGAGCCTGGAAGGAGGTCTAGGACGCACCACTTCAGTGCCTGCACGGCCTGGCCAGTCTTCAGGTCTACTCTGTGTCAAGTGGTGTTTCAAAATGTGCTCAGGACTTATTTTAAAGGTATACTGAGTAACGACCCTCTACTCTCAGGAGAGATTATCATGGTCATTGCACTTAAAAATGTTTTAAAACATGAAGTTACTTTGTGATAGTTATTTTGTGTTATCTTCCTCACAAAATTAAAGATTCATAAAGCTGACACTGGGTCTGAGTTTTTCATCTCTGTGTTCTCTGGGCCAATACTTTGCCTGGTACATAGTAAGTATCCAAATATATATTTGCTAATGAAAGAGAAGATAGTTGAAGAAGATGGAGGCTTTGTGTGCTGAAGGAAGATGTGTGTCAATTTCTGAGAGGTTTTTCTCCCATCTCTGCCCTCAAATCCTGTACTAGAATGGGTAGGAATGCCCTGAAAGCCATTTTGGTGGTAGCCTATGAATTTAGGGAGCCGAGAGGGAAATTTCTGTGGATGCCCAGCAATGTACGTGACAGTCTTTAGCAAAGGCTCTCACAGAACACATGTCCCTCATACAAACCTGGCCTATGGCACAAGAAGGTAATAACAGGTTGCCTGGCATATTCTGGTTACAGAATCAAAACTCTTCTGTGGTCAGCTATACATTTTGCCCAAATACCTCTGCTGTTTCAGAGTAAGGAGATCAGATTCTGAAGCCCCCATACCCTCAGACACCTTAAAGATCAGCAATTCCAGAGTAGAGTCCTCTAGTTATGGGGCTATTTCCATCACTGGGTAAAGACAATGACAATTTGGGGTCAAGATGGGTAGAATTAGATCAATGTGGGCAGTTCCTGGAATAGCCAAGAGAAATGCAAATAATTTTATTCCAAAGAATATTAATATGTATTGAGCAGTAGGCTAAGGTAAGTGCTTATATGTGGCAGGGAGATTTGTTGAAATGCACATTTGAAATTTTGTTCATGTTATCCCTCCTCCCATCATGAGAAAATATCTTTATCTTTGCATCTCCTAAATCTGAAGTTTTTCTAATTGAAGTGTTAAAAATAGAAATGACCAGGAACAGCATGCCCTGGATTGTGTTTGTGAAAGCGGGGGCTTCTAGGTTTTCACCCACAATTCACTTGGAGGTAAATTGTACCAGATTGTTTTCAAGGGCCCAAACTGTAAGAGGCCGAAGCTTCTGAACCTAAGAGGCGAGGAGATTCCCTAAGACCAAGCAAAGAAAGGAGGTTTTTGAGGGCTATATTAGTTTTCTTTTGCTGCTGTAACATATTTTCCCAAATCTAGTAACTTGAAACAGCACCCATTGATTATCTCACAGTTCTGTGAATCAGAATTCCAGGCTTTTTCAGATCTTCCCAAGACTGACATCAAGGTGTCCAATGAACTGGGCTCTTAAGGTTGTGGGGAAGAACCTGTTTGCAAGCCCACTCAAATTGTTGACTCAGTTCCTTTTGATTGTAAGGCCGAGGTCCTGATTTCCTTGACACGTGGTCCCTGCAAACCAACAAAGGCACAAAAAAACCTAAATGAAAGATCTCCACGAGTGAGATCCCAGTAGAAAGAACGGGTCATCAAAGAAGGAGGTACCTTTCTCTGAAGGGAGGAGAGAACTTCCACTTTGACCATGGCCTTGTCTAAATATGATCAGAGTCGGTGAACTCAGGGGGCTTCCATAGCCTTGGCAGCTCATGACAAGAGCCTAGGGTGATTACTGACGCCATAAACAAGAGTGTCAATTTGTTAAGTCAACAACAGGAGTCACTGTGCACTTACTCCTCATGTAGGATCTTTGTCCTTAGTGTGCTGTACATTGAGATTTAATGCTATAACTAGTACTCAAACAGTATTTTTCACTTTATGTTTCTGTGTGGGAGCAAACTGTTGAAATCTTTACTTAATGTATGCTAAACTGATCTTCTGTATATAAAGAGAATTGAAAATGAATCTTGATGTGAATGGAAGGGGAGAGGGAGTGGGAAAGGGGAGGGTTGCAGGTGGGAGGGACGTTATGGTGGGGGGGGAAGCCATTGTAATCCATAAGCTGTACTTTGGAAATTTATATTCATTAAATAAAAGTCAAAAAGTTAAAAAAAAGAAACAGTAAAAAAATTAAAAAAAAATTAAAAAAACTCAATCTTCAAATCTCAGTTTTCAGCTTCTACTACCGGATTGACAAAGCCCCCTGCTTTTTAAATCTCATCTGATCAGGTTAGGTTCATCTAGATAATCTCCCTATTTTCAGGTCAGTTGATGATTAACGTTAAGTAATCTGCAAAGACCCTTTTGCTGCGCTCATGGAAATAACACCAGAAGCCAAAGGTAACAGGAGGTAGTGTTCTATCACAGAGTCTCTGGAGGAGGAAAGAAATCCAGACCCCACTTCTAGAGAGGGCCCAGAATAAGGAGCAGTAGGAGTTGGGTCTTTGGAAATGAGAGTGATCACCATGCTGGAGCAGGTTCTATAATCTCAGAGCAGTACACTGTAGGGGCATGCAGGCTTCAGCAAGGCACATGTCAGTATAACCAGTGTGGTTAGAAGACCAGAGCATGCTGGCACTGTGGTGTAGTGGGTAAAGCAGTGCTGGCATCCCATATGGGTGCCGGTTCATGTCCTGGCTGCTCCTTTTCTGATCCAGCTCTCTGCTATAGCCTGGGAAAGCAGTAGAAAATGGCTTCAGTCCTTGGGCCCCTGCATCCACGTGGGAGACCCAGAAGAAGCTCCAGGTTCCTCGCTTGGGATCAGTGCAGCTCCAGCTGTAGCAGCCATTTGGGGAGTGAACCAGCAGATGGAAGACCTTTCTCTCTCTGCCTCTACCTCTACCTCTACCTCTCTGTAACTCTGTCTTTCAAATAAATTAAATAAATCTAAAAAAAAAGACTTTTACTTATTTATTTGATAGGTAGAGTTACAGAGGGAGAGACAGAAAGGTCTTCTATCCACTGGTTCACTCCCCAAATGGCTGCAATGGCCAGAGCTGGGCTGATCCCAAGCCAGGAACCAGGAGCTTGTTCCGGGTCTCCCACACAGGTTCAGGGACTCAAGCACTTGGGCTACCTTCTATTGCTTTCCTAGGCTATAGCAGAGAGCTGGATTAGAAGAGGAGCAGCCAGGACAGGAACCGGTACCCATAAGGGATGCCAGCACTGCAGGCAAAGGCTTAGCCTACTATACCACAGCACCAGCCACAATGCCCATTTTTTTCACATACTGTTGTAGAATAATTTACAATATATTGCTATACATAGGTTATCCCTTTGGTTCTGATAACAATATTGTGATGTCTAAGTGGTTATGATGCTCATTTTTCCAGACCATGAAACTGAAGCCCATAGGGCAATTAAAATGCTAGATTTTATTTATTGAGAAGTTATTTTATACAAGATCCTGGGCTTAAGTGCCTTGTCTCAACTAACCCTTACAACTGTCTGAGGTAGATGCCATTACTACTCCATTTTGAAATGAGGAAACTGAAGCTCTGGAATTAGATAACTTTACAATATCACAGGGCTCCTAAATCATGTGGAATGAAACCCAAGTCTGTTACGCTGGTTCATTAAAGAAAATATGGAAAGATACTACCTCAAATTGAGGCCAAAGCCGGGAAAGTTCCTTTCTCGAGGGTGCCTGTTGTGAGCCGTAACTGTGGTAACCAGGGGAGAAGGAGCCAGTTTCTGAATCACTGGCAAGGTTGCCTAGTGTGCTGGAGGGTGATCTCCAGGCTGCAGGCGAAGACAAGAGACCACCCACTGCTCTGGAGGACAGCTACCAATTGCAGCTCCCCGATCTGTACATGTGCAGCTGTGAGCAGTGGGCAGGAATTTTGGAGACACTGCTGGATTGCTTCAGGGACAGCAAGGCTGCTCAAAGTCCCTCCTGCTGAGAGACCAGCTGCTTCCAGTTCAGCCCTTCTCCTTCCCACAGGACTTAGGGCCTCCCTTACTTCTCTCTTTGGGTCATGACCCCAGGATACCTCAGCCTGGCCATGATTTGGGATGTACACCCCTTCTCTGAGTGTTCCCAGTTAGTTACTCCCTGCAAGAAACTTCTTCAGCCCACTGCCACACCCAACCTGCCTCACCCTTTTCTTCCACTGAAGACAGAGGAAATAAAGTATCAGAGCTGGGGAGGGGCTGGATTCTAGTTTGGGGATGAAGCTAGGGTTTGGCTTGAGGTTAGGCTCAGAGATAGATTGTCAAGCTGGGTTAGAGTTGGGCCCAGAGTTATGGCTCACGTCAGAGCAAGTATTAAAGTACAGCACATGGAGAAGAGCCTGTACTTGGAGCCAATCAGAGCTCTGAAACATCACTTATTAGCTGGAAATTTTCACCCATTTTCATAAAAATCTTTCAGGGTTGTTGCGAGAAATGCTTAGAGAATTAAAATGTAAATGAGATAATTAATGTAAACTTCCCACCAGTGCCTGGCAGATAGCAATTTCTTCCTTTTAAATTTTTAATTATTTACTTAAGAGAAAAGTAGAAATAGCACTCCCATCTGCTGGTTTACTTCCCAATGTCCCACACTGAGAGGGAGCAGAAGGGGCAAATCAGAGAACTTGGAACTCAGAATAGGTCTCCCGTGTGTGTGGCAGGAACTCAATTACTTGAGGCATTGCCACTCCTTCCCAGGGTGTGCATTCGCAAGAAGTTGGACTCAGGTGCTAAATCCAGGTATCAAACCCCTTCACCCTGATATAGGGTGCAGGCCTCCTAATAGCTAGGCCAAATGAATGGAAGCTATATCTGCCACACACGTTCCTCTCTCAGCAGTTGTGCCTTTGCTCTGGTCGTCCAGTCCTGCCTGGCCCAAACCCTTGGCTGGTAACTCCAGGACTGGCCAGCAGAGGGCGGAAGGCACTCCTTCCCACCCTTCCAGCTCCTTCCAGGCCACAGGATTGCCCTGCTTTGAAAAGCTGACAGAACATTCAGGAAGAAATGGAAACTTAGGTACAGGTAATGATGTTGGGGAATCCTGATCACAACTGTTCTATAAAACTCTTGTTTAGGTATTTTCACAAGGACTGATAAATTAGCAGTGATACTGACGGAAAGCACTGAGGAAGTTGTTCCAAATCAGACTAAAGCTGCCTTGTTGAAGGCAGCACCAATTGAATAGATGGGAACATTCAGGACTGCCCTCCCCGTGGACTGAAAATTCCTTGTGTTTTCTCCCAGAGAACACATGGATCCAGAGGCCCACGGATCCTCTGTGTGTC